GTTTCAAGTCGCCAATCTTAATTGTCTCCCAATTCATTGCTTGATGGAGTATATGGCCCATGGACCCCCGGCCCATAGACTCCCACTACTATAACAAAGGCTCAGTAAGCCCAGGAAGCACAACATGCCCAAATCACAGCGCCCCAAGTGCCAAGCAGCCCACGACGTACACTTGGGTACCTTCGGCCCCCGTGGCCGAAGGCTCATAAACTTACAGTACAACTGCTTTTAAGCATCGAAGTTACTGGGAGAAAACAGCGAAAACAGTAGCCCTCGGCACCTAGAGCCCTCGGCACCTAGAGGCCCCCGGGATGAAGAGCCTTCGGCTAATCATCTACAGCCGAAGACATCTTCCTTGACAGAATCTCCCATCCACATGCGCTGGATCAACGTACCAAGTACAAACCTCACATCCAACCACCGCATTTAATGCGGCCACATACGAGTGCCAGTGCCACCCCGTTGAGATGACCCCCCGACCACCAGAATGATGACACATGTCCTTATCTAGCATTTATTGCTGCTATAAATAACACCCCTTTCCCCATTTGTAAATGACGCTCAATACAACTAAAGTTCACATAATCAAATACTTTCTCTCTCTTGCTTATTTGCTCTGACTTCTCTCTAGTTACTCCCCGAAGTAACCCCTCGGATAAGCTACCCCCGGGTACACTATCCATCATCGCTATTATGGCAATGCATTCAAATGCTACACCAAAACTCTTGCAATATTTATCCAAGCGATAACCAGTCTCTACTACCATTTGCGAGGGGCGAAAACAATGTTGGGGATGTTCAATCCCTATTGGCGACAACCGGCCACTAGGTCTTTGTGAAAGATCCCGAATAAGAGTGGGCAATTGGATGCCATAAAGAATGCCAAGATCTATAACGTGCAATGATTTTCCTCTTAATGCCACTTCGTAAATCATTTTGTTCCTAAAGAAGATAGTTATCCTCATAAATCACAACGATGATGACATGTGGGATTTTTTCATTTCGGAAACTATGAGTTCATTGCGAAATTAAATGATGATAAAGGATAAATTTGCGGCCAAGATCCAGCCACCCGTGTCTGAAGACTGTCAGCAAATGCATGTGCCAACCTTTGGTTTGTATCCCCAACAGGCGAAGAGTACTGCCTGATCTCCTTTAGTTGTTCTACAACAGTGATGTAATAAGCATCACCAACATTATTTGCATAAGTGAGCAAAAGAGACATCACATTCACTTTTTTAGAAACATCTCCACCTTTTTTGAACATCTATATCGACCATTTTATCCTTTCGGTTGTCATTTGCGGGCTCGATATGAGGGGCAATCATCATTAGCATCAACACACAACAAAACCTTATCAAACAACTCTGATAACTCAACTTCTTCCCCATAAGCTGCACTTTGCTTCCAGCTCCTTTCCTCCTCATCACCTGGACGATCGTGTTTCCTTCCCTTACAAGAACCAACTAAATGATCCCTCATCTCTATACTCACAGTACTACCACTAATCAATTCCTTAGTCATATTTGGATGCAATATGTATTTATCATCAAGATGGATAACCATCGGGTTAATGGCACGAAAGAATCTTCTAGATTCCTCCACGCCTCTTTCGAATTGCGAAATGGTCATAGTCTGATCATCAAAAAATAAATTTGGAACTACATTAGTTCTACCACCAAATCTATGTAAAGAAATATTTAACCCATCTAAGTTAGCTTGTGGTGGTGAAGAAGAGTGGATGGAGAGATGACAAGGATCACTTTTGCCACATGACATAGATTCTCCAGGATCAACATCACAAGTGGAGGTCCCAACTAAGGTGTCTTCTTGGCCTTTGACTTTGTTATCACATGAGGGTTTTCATCTAAGGCTTCGTAGAAGTAATTCTCAGCAGCTCTTAGCGCAAAAGGAACATATATTGACAAGTCATCAGTATTCTCATCAATGTCCTCCTCGAGTAGTATCTTGTTAATGTAATTGATCACACAATCAGGGTCCGTCGAAAGACCATGGTTTGGATGTAATTGTGTCATGGCTGAAAGGGCACCCTCGCTCTCACTCTGCAACCCGAGCCTCTTCAAAGAGTAGTGTGCATGCGACGTTCCAAGTCGATGATCCATAGCTTCCCGTCTATGACATATGGTGGGAAAATGGGTAAACAAATAAACAATTGCATCAATTCAATCATAACAGACTACCCAATCAATTACACCATCTTCTGCTAACTAGTGGTGTCATGATAGGTAATCAATGGTTTTTTTCCATTTGGGTCTTAAATGTTCCTAATTATGTCGTTTTTGTTTATTACTTTTTATTTTTCTTTTACTAATTAACTATTGTTGATCCTGTATTAGTTTATTACGAAGTACTTTTCTGATTACTTTTTTCTTTGTGGATATTTAACTAATAATGCTCATGTTTTAATCTGTCATTGTTTTTCACTAGTACTACCACCGTTCTTAAATAAATGCAACAATCAACTTTTCACGGTTGCCGATGCACAACTTTGACAATTAGTATATTTTATTCTCTTTTAGTAAAAAAAATTAAAAAAATAAGTTTTTGAAAATTTAGGATAAAACAAATATAACAATATATTTTTTTAAATAAATAATTACTAAATTAAATAAATAGAACATAGTAAAAGTAGAACACGTGAAAAGTCTAAATTTTCACATGTTGTATTTATTTAAGAACATAGGTAGTATTTGTTTCTCTTTTTTGAGTGGCATTTTACTATTTTTCAGGGTTTACTTGTTTTATCAATTAATTTTCTATTTTAATTGCCCTATTTTTACTGCTTTAGGTGTGTTTTTATTTGACCTCATTTCTAATTGAAGAGCATTAGATAATACAGTTATTGACTTAGGCATCCAATCTCCCAGATCATCTTAACAATTTGCACACATGTATTTAATTAATACTACATCTGTTCTTAAATAAGTGCATTATATTAAATTTTACACTATTTTATTTTATTAATACCACGGGTTGGTTAATAGTCAACATGAATAAATTGAGTAGGTCCCAAAACAACATAACAAACCCGACCGGCCTAACCCGCCCGATGTGCAGCCCTACTGCAAAGTCCACTCTCAAATCAACACAACATGACCAACGTTGTAACAAGAATGAACTGCGACGAGAATTGAACAAATGGCCATTACGAATGACAGAAAGTGAATGATCAATCCTCATCATACCTTCTCCTATATCATGATTTTCTGGGACTAAACATTTGTGGTGTAGTCCTCAAAGGCAGAGGGACTTATTGGGAATGAGTCACAACTATGAAAAATGCTTTCTGTGTAATGCGGAAAGTACGTATGATTCGTCGACGGATGCATTGAATGACCATTGACGAGATTCAAAGATATAGAAGAATAGACAAGTGTAAAATACATGCTTGTGGGTTGGCTAATGGCGGCAATCGGTCCAACTTTACATATTAATCTGACCTTCATAGATAGGTGTGTATGATTTATGGGAAGATCTTGTAAGGAATATATTGTACTTAGATTTTGATGTTGCTCCACAAGTTAGGAAGTTAGAGTACCCGTGTAGACTATTTGTAATTAGAATTTTCTGTTGTAAGTACTAGACTAGTCGACGATCAGAACTGAGGTGTTTGTCTCCCAAAGGACATAACTGGTCTTAGTTCAATGATCTTAAGTCTCACCAGTCCAGAACAGAACTGCTACTAGACAGAAGTGCCTGTTGCTTGTTCATTTCAACAGAACCGCCCAAGTTATGCTCCACTACAGAAATACCCGGACTCATTTCAAGTATTCGTTAAACTAACGGGATCTGCTTTAACGGTTAGGAATGTCTCAACGGAAGTTACCTGTACAACACATTAAATGCTCATTTAATGCACCCCACTCGTTGAGATATTTAAGGCACATGGTTGACCGGAGAATCCAGGAGAATAATATTTAATTCTTCCCAATATAGTATGGAGTAAATTGAAAAGAATATGGAAACTGGTCAGTCAAGTCTACAGGACATGCATTTAATGAAGATGTCTTCTACACTCCAACGAGATGAACTCTACCGGTATATAAGATATACTTCGAAGGGCTGGAAAAATACCAACTTTGAAATCAACATAGCATACTTTTGAGAGCAAATACTACTCAATCTTCACAAGAGTTCGAACTAGAGATTGGAAGATAAAACATTCTTATCTTCAACCAACTCTAAAAGCAAGTTCGTTTTTGTTCTTCAACAACGTCGAAATCTTCATCTACACATCTAGTACGAAGAACGTTGGAGAAAACACTTTGAAATCTTTCAAATCCATCTTCTTGTTTAAGATCACACTGTTTGGGTTTGGAAAGTGATGATTCAAGATGGAGTTTGGATATTTATAGCTTTGTACTTTAATTTCATATACTCCCTCCGTTTCTGAAACAAGTTCCACCTTTCCTTTTCGGGCAGATTCAAAATTAAGTTCCACTTTCAAACATTTCCTTATTTGACAAATTATCTACATCAAAACAATGTCAAACAGTGTTCAAACAGTGCCAAACAGTGTTCGAACAGTGCCAAATAGTGCACTCCACAGTAAAGTCAATTTTTTTTCTTAATATGTGTGAAGTCAAATGTGGAACTTGTTTCAGAAACGGAGGAAGTATGTTGTTATATTATTTCAGTTAGACAATTACTCTACTCTTTTGTTGTGTGTTTTTGTTTTTGTTCTATGATGTTTATATGGTTGATATTGAATTGATAAAAAGTAGGTATTAACTCTGTCCCACTAACATTCGGACAAAAGGAAGCACACAATTATTAGGAAAAATGAGTTTATATGGTTGATATTGAATTGATAAAAAAATAAAAAATGATTTAGAATCACACAAATTTTATCAAATTTGATATGCGACAATCTTAATGATATTTCCCGAAAAGATAAATTGGAACAATTTTAGCATGATTGATAGAGTAGTTGAGTTGAGACTCATGTACTATATTTGATTTTTTAATATCAATATTCAGATTTTCCTTTCAAAAATAACTTCCTCCGAATTACACATATTATCCCCAAATTTAACAATGAGGGAGGACAAGGGGCAATGGGTTCTCCTGGTAGCAATTTCAAGAAAGCTGTGGTAGCTTTCTTATCACCCCTTCCCTCAATCCTCTTCTACAACTCTTTCCTCCGGCACCATTACAATGAAGAAGAATCACCTCTCTGGGAATGGTGTTTTCATCACTCTCTCCTACTTGCCCACATTTGCTTCTTCTTGAATGTCAACCTCCTCTTCTGGATCATCGCTCTTTTCCAATCCAGCCACTGGGTAATTTCAAAATCGAAAATTTCTGATGAATTTCCTACCTTGGACGATTCTTAACATTCTTTGTCGATTACGGTTTTGGCTGAAATGGTATGCAGATGATTGATTTGTACTGGACGGTGATACCTGTGTTGCTGGTGCACTACTACCGGAGCCACCCGTCGGGAGAGTACAACGTTTGGAGGTCGCTGGTGGTTGTGTTTCTGACGTGGGTATGGAGTATAAGGTTGACCCACAGCTACTTCCGCCGCGAGAACTGGCAGTGGGGCGCCAGGGAGGATTGGAGATTCACTGATATGAGCCGCAAGTACGGAAAGAATTGGTGGTGGATGTCCTTCTTTGCCGTGTACTTATCTCAGCAGGTAAAGCTTTTTTGTAGCCGTCTAACTGTTCGCTGAATTGCCTCTGAAAATTTTAAATTGGCGGAGACATAGACCAGTTGAAGTAGGAGCTACATATAGCCCCTGGTTGCTGGGTGGGCAACCTACTGAGTACTGAATACTGATCACAGTGCCAGGACAGGGAAGTAATTTGACCATTAAACTTGAATAACAAACTCATATGACCGTATCTATGAAATTCTATTAAAAGGGAGATCCTTTTCAATGGCTAAGTTGTATTAGGATAGATTTGTTGACATCGAATAATTATTTGTGATTATGTGGTGATGACGTATGCATAACAAATTTTAGGTCTTGCTCCAAACTCACACGCACACAAACACTGAAACACACACACACACACATTTGGGCATTATTCGTATGTGACTAAAAATGCATCAAATCCATATCTTTCAGGTCTAATACAATATTTTTAGTGTTTTTATATTATTAAGATATGTGTTACCCCAACCATTAAATATTACAGAGTACATTATATTCCAAGGTATTACATACATGATTAGTTATAGGCTTGTAGCACAAATGAGTTAAACACATTTTTTTATCACGATGATCATGGACTATTGTGTTGAGGAATTTGTATATCAGACGGAGGTTTCTTGCATTAAACCCCAAGTTTCATTATTATTAGTATTGAGTACCCCACATAAATTATTTATTGTTCATTAGGTTTATGTCTATTACATAAAATGTCATGTGAGGATTCTCTTGAGAGGAGTTATTCTCAACTTATCTTGGTATCAAATACTTAGTCGTGGTTTTAGGGCGCCCATCCACGCAGTAGTTTGGAGCAACCCGTCTAGGGGCCAGCTTGGGTGCATTTGTAAACCCTCTCATCTGTGCACCACTTGATGGATAGTATATGAGCGAGGTAACTTAAATAGATTTTTCAAGGATGAATTATATCCAATTTAGGTATTGAGTAGTGGGTATCCGAGTATCCGATTAGTGGTTTGTCAAAGGTGGATGTGTTAATTCTCATGCCGATGAGTTGGGGGTCGGGTGATGGATTTAGGGTCCAAGGCCTCCCACCCGAACCCGCTCCATTGTCATCCTTCTTGACTACTAGTAGCCCACGAAAGTTTTGGAGTTTAAAATTCCAAATGGCTACTAGGTTTTGTTACCAACTTCAAATGATTCCTACTTATGAGTTATGAACGCCGTGGCGTATGTGTAATTTTAACCATTCAGGTGTTTATAATGGGAATATGCATGCCCATGTACATTGTACACTCGGAGAACAAGCCGTGGAACATGTGGGACTTTGTTGCCACATCCATTTGTTCATCTGGCATCGCAATTGCCTATTATGCAGATACACAACTCCACAATTTCGTCAGCAGAACCAAATGGCCGAAAGAGCAAAAGGTTCCAAATCTCCTTCTCGATACAGGTCTCTGGCAGTACTCCCGCCATCCAAACTACTTTGGTGAGCAGCTATGGTGGTGGGGACTTGCCATATTCGCATGGTGTATGGGTGGTGTTTGGGTTTTTCTTGGCCCTCTCATAAACAGCTTGTGCTTGGCATATGTCACTATTCTCGTAGAGAAACGAATGATTAAACAGGCTCACAGAGCTGAAGCTTATAGACTCTACCAGAAGACAACTTCAGTTTGGATTACATGGTTTAAGAAGTCATCATCCACCAGCGGAAAAGATAAGAACTCTTAATACACTGAACCTGCACTTTTATTTCTTTTTTACTTTTTTTACTCATACTGGGATTTTATTTGAAGAAAGACTTCTTCAAACTGTAATGAGAACGGAGATTGGAATTGATAAGCTCAATGTGCAATTTGGTACCAGAGTCATTACATATAAATATAACATTTGACCTTTTATGGTTTTATTTGAATAGTAGTTTTCGAAAGACACTTACACTGAGGCTGCTTACTCCTTGGGATAAGCCATGATGCATAGGAGGGTTTATTTTCCGTGTAACAAATAAGCTCACGCATCACTATGGTGAGGCATGGTTTCATGCTTTTGATGTTTTTTAATTGGACTGATTTCACTCCTAGATTAGATTTGTTCAGCCCAAACTTAAATACTCTAGATCAGATCATCAGACCAAATCAGAACATATTTGGAGAATAGTAAAACTCTTAAAAGATATATGTATCAAATTAGATGAGTTGGTCCATGGGTTGTTGAAGGTGGGATTGGGATCGAGACCTTGGTTTACTGATATTGGGTCGGTTTCGGTTCCCATGGTTCAATTCTGTTTTTTTCATTTTATATATTACAAGTATTAGATCGCAATAAAAAAGTCATGAAACATTATTATTTGAATCATAAAGATGTTACAAATGTATTAAAAATCAAAGGTTGTTTTCACTTGGATCGATTACAATCTCATAGTAGACCATATTTATATAGATTGGACTAGAATAGTGTTGAAGTTTATTACCCTCGGTCAAAGGACGCAACTGCGCAACACCTTCCCATGAGTTTTTGTTGAAGTTTTATGGATCAGTTATATTTTAGTGGGCTAGCTCAGTTATTATGAAGCACAAACAATAGCAAGAAGAGAAGGAAATGTAAAATGTGCAAGTTCTATATTTTTAACCTTTCAAATCACTAACATTAATGATAACTAGAAAAATAGGACGTCCAAGACTTTCTCCCAAACTTCAGTACGGTTATTTAGACAATAATTAAATAAAGTACTTCGAGTATATTTTGAGAAATAATATTAATAAGTATATATTATAATGTAGTTAGTATTGATAACTGTGATGTTATAAATGTATTATTTTTAATATTTAGTGATTAATTTGTCACTTAAGATTGTTAATTGTTTCCTAAAATGGAAATGGGAACCTTCTAACGGGACGTCCAAAAAAGGAAAGTGAGAACCTTCTAATGGGACGAAGGGAGTAATAAGTATTGAACACATAAATATAAAAAAATACTATTTGAAAAAAAATGAAACATTGGCAATGTAAAGATGGTATATATTTCAAAAGATGTTGCACTATTTTACCGTTTTTAATTAAATTTTGAGGTATCAATTTTCCACTTCTGGTGTCAACTAGAAAATTAACCAGTGAAGCGAATCACCTTAAGTCAATGAATAATGCAACAGTATAGAATGAAAAAGAAAGAGATAAAAAATTAGGACTAAGAAATTACAATACAGAACCTCTATAAAGATATATCTTGACTTACTTCCCCGTTAGTCCATACAGACACCAATATTTGAAGACCATATAAGCCTATTACATGAAATACATGAAATTAAAGGGAAAACTCCCGAAATAGGAGTAAATAAGTTTGGAAATTCCAAAATAGGACTGCCATGTTTTTATTCCCAAAATAGGAGTAATTACTGTCAAGTTTGGAAAATACCGTCATGTTTAAAGTCGAGTACTGCAAAAAATGGCAGTAATTAGTCATATTTTGGGAATAAAAACATGAGTCCTATTTTAAAATATACAAACGTTTTAGTCCTATTTTAAACGTTTTAAAATATTTTTATAATTGTGATCCATGTATTTAAATTAGCCTTTTGTTAGAATTTATTATACACTAAATAGGCCTTAAATGACAATGGTATACTTACCAAAATAGGAATGGGCCTCCTCTTTATAGGAGCCCAATCATTGTTGACATAGCATTCTACAAAGCTATATATATGCCCTTTGTAGAATGCGTAGGCAAGCTTTTAGACGATTTCAGTTATTCAGCCGTAGAGCATATTTTACGTAGAGAAGGTTTTGTACGCTAAAGTTTTCTCCTATCATTCTATAAAACCTTCTTCAATGAAAGCTTCTACTATATCATCTAGAGCTCCATCTTCACACATCATTATATATATATAGTATAGTGATATCGAAAGGGACCAACATTTGGTATCAGAGCGGGACTGATCGATCGATTGAAGCAGAGAAGAAGAAGCATGTGCTAAACTTCATCGGCTGTTTTCTTCTCACGAGCGATTTGCAAATTGTTTCTGTTTACTGATTTTGCAGGAAAATGTATACATGATTATGTTTCTGTGATTGCTAGGATTCATTCTCTGTATTTTTCTCAGCAATATCATCGGCGTACAGGTCAAACAGATGAAGAGCGATTCTGCACTTTAGCGCATCTCACTGAGGAAGAAACAGTTTTAACGTTTCATGCGCGAATCTCTTTCCTGCGCGTTAGAGGTTGTGCGTGAAATTTAAGCTGATTTTTACTCTTTGCGCCAAAGTGCTCTACGCCAAACTCCCGTGCGTCATTCTCAAAAATTGCCGTGCGCCATTCTCAAACTCCCGTGCGCCATCCGAATAGCTCGTGCGCCATTTCCAGAGTCGTGTGCCATTTAAACTTCCGTGCGCCATTTTGAAAGTCTCCGTGTGCCATTCTTATTGTGCGAGATTGTTATGTGCGAGATTGTTATGTGCGAGATTTCTGACCGTGAGCTATTCTTTGTGCAATATTTTCAAACAACTAAGGCAACCATTATATGAACCTTATGCTCGAAGAACTCTACAAACTAAGACAGACCCTAAACAATCAACAGATCATTCCTGTAACACCCCCAAATTTCCCACCCAAAAATAATACTTTATTCAAAATAAATATCAAATTTATTTAAAAACATCAGAATTGTGCAGCGGAAATCAAAAGGGAAATAGGGGTGCTACCGCCACACTCGATTCTCTCTTAATCGAGTGCACAGGCTAAAACAACTTAAACTTCAAAATCAAAAGTTCACTTATTAAAGTTATTGAAAAAGAAATTTACAATGATTTACTAATAATGATTTCTAGCGAAAGCTCTCTCCCGAAGTCAACTTCAACATCGATCAACTCAACACCTGTACAAAAATCATGTACAGAAAGAAAAATAAAAGAAACACACATTAGCAATAATGCTAAGTAAGTTCCACCTAACCTTTTAAAATAATAATAAATACTATATATAAATTCGTACAACCTCATAAAATATTTTTCAAAACACTTTATAAATCATAAAGAATAAGTAAACGATATCTATATAAAATCCCAATCACATAATTAACTCGTAAACCATAATAATTCCAAAATACATGAAACACCAAAATTCTCCTCTTTTGAATTTCTCCCAAAATCACTTTGTACCTAACTTTCTAGTAATTTAGAAGGGCGGTGCTCAACACTTTGGTTGAGCCCGGTGGTCCGTTGTTAGGTACGACCACCCCGGGACTATCGCCGGTACCACAACTGCTCCTTGGAAACGGAAACAACTACTTTAAGTGTGCACACCCCCTAAAGGTATTCCAAGCCCTCCGGGTTAGTAAGTCGATCCGGGTAGCCGGGATGTTTTCTACCAACTACCCCACCTCAAAACCTGAATGATTAGGAGCTACTACTACCATTACTACTCAAAAGCCGGGATGTTTTCTACCGACCGTCAATTCACCTCAAACCAAAACCACAAAAATTGAGTAGTAGTAGACCTAACCATCCTCCACATTTTAAGGGACGTGGAAAACCAACACCACAGATTTCTCCCGTGATGCTCACCTTTTATAAAAATATTTATTTTTCTCTAAATCAATCGAAGTTTATACTTCAAAAATTCCCTTTTTATCAAACTCCAACAAAGATAACAAATTACGTACTATTACAAAATATCCCAAAATCGTATACAATAATTTATCTCAACAAAACAGTACATCAACTAATATCTCAAATACAACCCTTTCATATAATAATATTCACTCAAATTCAGCACACATAAATTCAATTCTCAAATATGCACACAAAAATATGTAAAAGAAATCACGAAGAAAAAGAACTAATATCGGTTGACGTGAAACTTACCTTAAATCCCGATGATCCTAATTCTCTTCTTCAGTTCCGGTCTCTAAATATTCACCTTTTTAATTAAGATGATATAATTAGTCACTTATTCTCTTTGTAATTATTTTACCCGATTTTCTCCTTTTATTTTATTATTCGAATTTATTAACTTAATTTATTAGTTATTCGAATTATTTGATTAATCATTTTTTTATTAATCAAATTACCTTATTAATTCAGCCATTAATTACAATATTTGAATTCTAATATTAAATACAATATCCGAATATAATTAACTACCACATCCTATTTTTTTATTCAATAACCACCATTAATTTACTCTACTAAAAGAATATTATTTAATTACTTTATTTATATTCACCCATTAATTTATGAGTTCAAATATTTTAAATATTTATATGAGGTCCGAATCTCTAATAATCAATCATAAAAATTATTAATTGAATTAGTCCACTAATTACGTAATTAAGTTATTTATTAAATCTACATATAGTCAATTATTTATGTTAGCTAATCCAACCTTATTTTATTTTCCTTATTTTATTCCAATATCATTTTTAGTCCAGAATATTATTTTTCAATCTCAGTGATTTATTTATTTCACCATTAATATTAATATTTCCTTATTTAATTACTTAACTAGTTTTATATGGCCCAATTAAATTAAATAGACTAAGAATCGACTTTATAAATTAAAAACCGTCTATAACTATATTTTGGGTCTATATTTGACCTAGGTTGTCCAGATATCTATTTTATAATTATTTTCCATAATTATTCCTTTAATTTCATATATCTATTAATCGGTTTAATTACAATTAAATATACTAATCCTTATTTTTATTAATTATAAATGGTCCATAAGGTCCTAGTTAGTCATATATTTATCCTAGTTTATTCCAATATTTTTTTCATAATTGTTTTCGCTATTTAGTTAATTATTTACTAAATGTGTATAAACTGGCCCAATTACCATTAAATCCATTAAAAATAGCTAAAAAATTTATTTTTCAATTCTGGTTGGTCCGAATATGTATATTTATACTAGGTATTTAATTTATATTTTTCCAGATTTTATTTATTTCATTTACTATTTTATTTTTAATTTTTATTCCAACTGGGCCGGACTGGCCCAAATTCTTTTAAATTTTTCTGGCCCATATTAAAACAATAGCCCAAGAAGACAGACCCCAGCCTATAGGCTGGGTCGTCTTCCTCGCCAAAACGCCGGAAGATGGTGAAAACGCAGGAAAAAAAATGCTTACTTCACCGGACGTGTGAACAGCGGCGGTGCACTCCTTCTGGGACGGCGAAGATTGGTGGTGGGTTGGCGGCAGCGGCGGCTCCTCTTTCTACTCCGTTTTCCGTCGTGAAAGTTTTCCCCGGCGAAACTCCGGCGAGCTATTTCTCCCTACTCCGACGTCCGTTTTCCACGATTCTTTCTCCGTTGGATTCGTCTCACGAAGGGGAAGGTTTGAGAAGTATTTGCAGGATTTGGTTATGGCTAAAACAAAGGGTCGCAATATTATATATGTATATACGTATATGTATAGGTGTGCGCTGGCTGGTTTGGGGATGGAAAATTTGCAGATCTGAGGCTTGTATTTATAGGTGTAGGTCAAGGGTTTTAGCGTTTATCTGAACAGCTTCATCTGCAGCTCCGTTCTCATCTCAAGCTTCGTAGGGAGTTTTATCCTTGTACGAAGCTTCATTGCCGGCCGACTGGGATAGTACCGAAGGAATTCTTTTTCATTTAGGACTCTGAATGTAGCTCGTTTTAGCTTGTAAATACGTTCCTATCTATATGGTAGCTTTGGTTTTTATCTTCACCGTAGGTTAAAATGATCTGTTTTTTTTTTATACTTCGTACTTTGTAAGTTACGTATTAGATTATACTCTGAATTCTTGTTGCTATTCCTTCTTATTAGATTATACTCATAGTGTTTCTCTTTATTTATTTATTTATTTATTTATTTATTTATTTATTTATTTATTTATTTATTTATTTATTTATTTATTATTACTCTTTTTTTTTTCATTATTATAGCTATATACTACGTACGAAGTAATATGTGTATACAAGCACATATTAGGTTGTGCAGAAAATAGGCTTTACGTATTATAAGTATATTAGTATTAGAAAAGTCAAATTTGTATATGTTGTGTATTTTATTCACAAGTTAAAATAACTTTTATTATTTATGCCATGCGTATGACATCACTTTCATAATTGTTATAAAACGTGACTCCTATTATCGGACCATTTTTATCAGACTAAAACATGTCACAAATGTTAAATTTTTGTTTGACTCACTTAATAATTAAAATGTCGTTTCCGTAACATTTTATCTGACTAATAACAATTATATTTTATTTTTATTTAAATTTTTGGAGTGTCACATTCTACCCTCCTTAAAAGAATGCTTCGTCCCCGAAGCATAAGTTAATATCATTTTGATAACACTTCTAAGTATTACATTCTGCCCTCCTTAAAGAGAGGTTACGCCCTCGCAACTTAAATATTACCTTATTCGAATAACTCAGGATAACGGCTTCGCATGTCATCTTCGGTCTCCCATGTGGCGTTTTCCGCCAAATGGTTCGACCATAAAACTTTCACCATCTTAACCGCCTTTCTTCTGGTCTCACGTGTCTTGCTATCAATAATCTTGACAGGCCTCTCTTCATAAGTCAATGATTCATCCAACTCGACCACCTAAGAAAGTCGAGGTTAGATGTGATACTTTGATCTAATTGTCATAAGGTTACGATTCGTACCTCGGGGCTAAGAATATGGGGTTCGTCGTGGACATACTTCTTCAATTGGGAGATATGGAAAACGTTGTGTACCTACGCATAACACACTTTAGTACTTGAGAGAAGTTTAGTAAGGTATTCACTAACGAGCGGTTATAGTATGTTATACCTTAGCCAACTCGGTGGGTAGAGCTAGACGGTATGCAACTTTTCCCACTCGCTCAAGGATGTCATATGGGCCAATGAACCTCGGGCTTAGCTTTCCCTTCTTTCCAAATCTCATTACTCCCTTGGTCGGGGAGACTCTGAGTAGGACTTTCTCCCCTGCTTCGAATTCGGCTGGTTTCCTCCCCAAGTCTGCATAAGACTTCTGACGATCTTGTGCACCTTTCATCCTTGCTTGAATCATCTTCACTTTGTCCATGGTGTCTTGGAGGTAATCCGGTCCTAGTACCACTTTATCTACCATATCGCTCCAGCATAATGGGCTTCTACACTTCTGACCGTATAAAGCCTCGTACGGAGCCATCTTGATGCTTGCATGATAACTGTTGTTGTACGAGAACTCTATCAAGTCTAAGTGTTCATCCCATGAACCCTGCAAGTCTAGTATGCAAGCTCTCAGCATATCTTCAAGTGTCTGGATAGTTCTCTCCGTCTGTCCGTCCGTCATAGGATGAAATGCAGTGCTTAGCTTTAGTTTGGTCCCCATAGCCGCTTGCAATTCCCTCCAGAATTGTGATAAGAAACGGGAGTCTCGGTCAGACACAATATCTCGAGGCACACCATGATATTTGACCACGTGTTGGATGTAAGCTCTAGCCAGCTTATCCATACTCCAAGTTTCATTCATGGGAATGAATCTCGCAGTTTTGGTAAGTCTATCGACGATCACCCAAATTTTGTCTTTTCCAGACTTTGTTAGGGGTAACCCTCCGACAAAGTCCATCGAGATCGAGTCCCATTTCCACGTTGGCACTTCTAAGGGTTGCATGAGTCCCTTGGGCTTGCATCTCTCAGCCTTGACTTTCTGGCAGTTCAGGCATCTGGCTACAAATTCCGCCACTTCTTTCTTCATTCGCGGCCACCAGAAATTCTTCTTTAAGTCTTTGTATAATTTATCCCCACCTGGGTGTACCGAATAAGGCGTGTTGTGTCCTTCTTCCATGATTTGCTTTTTGACGTGCTCACATTTCATAGGGACACACCACCTGCCTTTATAACGAATACTACCGTCATCATGCATCCTGAATGG